TAAATATATTGTGCTACACTTAGAAGTGAGATTTCTCTGCGACTTGTTTCTGACCTCCCAATTGCAAATTACATATGTGCTATTGATGAATCTATGAATATGTAATAACAACAAAATGGAAAAATCAGTGATTTCATAAGACTCCAAAGCATCAAAAGGAGCCTTTAGGGTTTTACAGCACCACCTCTGGACAAGAGAATCACAAAGTTCTGGTATCCTTCTTCAAACACTTGGAGTCCTTTAGATCCAAGTACATCTCTTCATCATTTTGACTTAATCATTTGTTATTAATTGTTTGTTTCCATAGGTAGGATTCCCTTAATTTTTGTTCAAGATTAAAAAGCCCACCTTTGAGGAATTATTGGTATGATTTTGACCAGAAGAACATCAATTATGTTAGCAAATGAGGTTACTTGCCATCATGACAACTATTCAAGATAACCATGAATTAAGAGAGAATGTTTTGGAATCTAGATGAGCTTCATCATCTGAAGTTCTGCTGTGTGATAAAATTCCTGTACTTGGTTCAGTTTTGGACAGTTTTGGAACATTCAAGCCTGACTCAGACTGCACCGCTGTTGATTGACAGCAACAGTATCTGCCGTATTTGGCCAGCCCTGTCAGTCACTGAGTCTGCAGTTTAGTCCTTCTACCAACAACGGAGTTGGAAAGCTTCTTGTTCAGTTGACTTCTTGGGGTTACAAGTTGGGGGCAGGGGGCTGTATTAGTTAATACACTCATTTTGACGTTCAGAGTGCATATTTCCTGATGTCTATTATAATGATAAATGTAAAAATGTCAGCAATGTTTATGCTGAATCTTAATTTGCATATGTGCACCCTGACTGTAGTCTGCAATGTTTCTGTATTCAACAAATTGATTTTGAAGTGTGGTCAGTTAAAAACAGTTTTGTAATCCACAGGATAGTCCATTAAAAGCCTTGTGTGGTATGGTATGTGTCCATTATTTTCCTTTTCTAAGTAACTATGTACCCTTACAATAACTTTACCAAATGAGCCACTTAAGAGTACATTTTAAGGATGTTTTCAGTTTAATTATCACTGTTGAAAGACATATCTCCGTTAGATTTGTGCATACATGGCAAAGAAAACTTAATCATTGACTGATTCATGTTTTATGTAGGTACTTCGAGTATTCAAGCTAATTGTATTCACGTTAGTTGTCCTTTTAAAAGGGCCAAGAGATAAAATCCTTAAAACTTGCTTAGGAATCCCAAGGCAGAACTCCTTCATTTCCATGAATCAGGGTTCTGCTATCAAATGAGGAAGTGAGATTTCATAAATAATAGCTTCCCAACTTGCAATTACGCTTGTTCTCTTATGCTTCCTACTCGTCTTACTCTTCCTGCTTCTTGAATGCATGTTTTCTTTAAAAGCCTCAGCTAGGTTATTAATGTGGACAGCAATCCAGTGCTTCCCTTGGTTAGCAGAGATGAAAAGATGTGTTTTCTTTTGAGAGCTGTATTGTTCTGCAGTTGTGTGCATTTCACTCCCATTGTGTGGTTCTTCACCAAGTAAAAACAGAGCTCTTCTATCCCTGAGGACAAAGAACAAACTGTTGTCGGGAGAGGAATATCTACAAAATCATAAATCTTTCTCCTTGCCCTGTTTATTCTTCATGCCATTCAAGCCCATTTAGCGAATGACCAATTAACTCCAGACTCATGGCAGATTCTGATGGGCCAGATTTCTCCTATCTAAGATGACACAGCCAAATTTCCAAATACTTTCTAGCTGAATGCAGTGTTTGGTTTTCCTTGCTCTTTAATTCATAGTTCCCAAACTGTTATTCCAATTATCAAACAAATTGACATTTTCTCTAATTAATGAACTGATCATCAGCAATACTGTAAAATATAGGGAAAATGTGTACCAAATTCATTTCATTGTGCATCCAGTTCTTTATTATTGTGAGTAAAACTGTTTAAAGATATTTGTCCTTCAATAATTAATCTGCTAGCTGTACATTGCACATCACTGCATACTGAAATATACAGGAAGCAGGAGTTTCACAGATTACTTTTCTATGGTAAAAACATGCTGCAAAAGTAATAATTTTAAAAATAATTCTAATCAGTGAAGAAAACACACTTTTGACTATGATATGGTATCCACTAAGTAAAAATCCAATACAAGCTGGGGGAGAATTCCAATATTAAATGTTAGATCTGAATTATTTAACCATAATATAGTGTTGTAATTAACATCCATACTGTATGTACTTCATTGCATTTTATGTCTTATCAATTCTTGATGTGCAGAATTTAGAAGAACTAAAAGCAATGACTCAATTACCCCCCAAAATTGCTTTTATATTGCTTTATATTGACAAGTCATAAGTATGAAAGTAAATTACGTTAATCATTTTACTTTGATATCCCATGCTGGTGTCTGAATTGCATAAAAATTCTATTTTGTGTCAAGTGGCAGGTCTGCAAAGAAACTGTATATTTAACCCTAATTATACATTGCTAGGATCAGGTACTGCATGGGCTTGTGTTCTTACATAAATAACATATATACAAGAAGTGAGTTAAAAAAACCCACCATGCCACATTCAGACAAGTTCTAAAAGGTTAGGTTGTTATAGTGAAACTTCGCAACATCTTTTGTGATACTTCTGTTTACTTTCTCAGAAAACTTTCCCTGTTTTCGCAGTCTTAGGTAGGAGCTTTGCCTCAGAAAGATCAATGGACACAAGATGTATCATCTACCCCTTGTAATGCTTGCTGTTATCAACAGGAGTCAGTGAAATGCACTGCATGCTGGGTGGTGGGTTCTTTCCTTTAGTGGTGCCCCTCTTAGACTCATTAAAGGCATGAGATCCTGTAGTCTGGAAGTAGGGAAGATTCTGGTCTGTCCCAGACAGAAAACATGCAGTATCATCAGTAGCGCTGGGCCATTTTTCTTACCCAATGAAAAACAACATTAAAATTAGGTTATTTTTTTATCAGTCATAAATGAGTCAAGCAGGAGGAACAGAATGATTCTAACAACAGAGAAATATTTACCACTCAAATATCTGAAGAAATTAGCAGTGATAAAAAGGAAATACCATAAAGGGAACGCAAAATGCCTTAGCTGGGCTCTGAAAAACAAGTGAGTAGTATTTAAATTTGCCTAGAAGTTTTTCTGGATTTTTGAGCTCTGGCCTGTTGGGGGCAAAGAATAATGTAAATGCCAAAAAGAGTTGGACAAAAAGTAAGCTTTGTATCCTATCTATGAGAATCAGACGATGTGTATCATGCTAGTTTTTACAGTCATAGTCTACAGTCTTCCACTGATTAAAATCAAATTTGACAGTAACACAATATAGAGGTTTAACTGACAGCATACACAGCACATTTGCTAGTCATAACGCCACAGTTTAATGACTGACGCATGTGGGAAGCTAATTCAGATTTTTTTTTTCTTGAATGGGATAAATGAGCATCCAGTTAATACCAATCATGAATTCAAGCCATGTGACAAAATTGATGCTACATACCCTGTTCTTGTTTTGCATATTCTGCAAATTGAGCTGCAGGAAAAGAGCCAGTTTGTACACACATCCGGAGAGAAAGTTCATTCTGCTTTCTGACACATCCACCAATTGCAGCTGAATGTATCCAGCTTGCTGCTGTTGTGTCCACAAACTAATTACCCTTTCTCTGTTAAATAGCGTACGAATTACAAATTGTATGCCTGTTTTGAGAAAAAGTACAGGTTGAACAAGCAGACATAGTATAAATAAAATATTTATATAAAAATAGTCTCTTACAAAATATACTCTTTTATCCTATGGTTGATTTTTCCAAAAGAAGGAAGTTTGTCTGGATTTTCTTATTTTTAGACATATTCCAAACAGGACTTTATTAATGCTTCTTTCTTTAATTGAAAAAAAAAAAAACAAAACAAAACAAAAAAACCAAAAAAACCACCAAAACTGGTAAAGATTGTAACCCCTACCACTTGACTTTTGTTCCAGACAACTAGCAGCAAACAGGAGAAAACAAACAAACGAACAAAAAAAACCCCAAAAACAACAGTGTGTGTCTGTGTATGTACATATATATAAAGATGCCAGCTTTTGTACTTAAACATCTAGTATTGTAGAACATATCCTGCAAGTCCAACTAATAGAAATATCCTAGTTAAGAATAATATATACAGCTCCATTTTTCCTTGCTGTTTCTAAAAAATTATTCCACAAAGAAAGCCAGCTATCTACTTTAATTGCAGAATAGTTCCAAAAACGTTGGTAGAGTTCTTTTTAATTAAATAAATTAATATTAGTTTTATCTGAATAAATTGTTAAATATTGCTATTATTATGCCCAAGTGTCCCAAATCCCTGTGCTAAAATCTGCAGCACACACACACGAAAAAGGCAGATAAAGCAGTGTCTACAGAAAATGTCAACAGTTCTACTCGCTGTAGCAAATGGTATGAAGTGGAAAGACGGGCAAGACCAGCAGAAGCTTTTCACAAGTGTGGAAGCCTAAATCTGTGTCATCCACACACTCACATGGGCAATTCACGATGAGGCACTGTCCATCCCATCCTGTGCAGAGCCCTTTTTTGAGGATTTCTCCCCTACCCCTCCCTGCTCCCTGTACACTGAAGTTTTTGACCATCTTTTTTCCAAACCAGAAGTTGTTGCCACACTCAGAGATTTTTCTCTGACCGGTGTCTCTTCACAAGGCAGTCAATGCTTCTTGCTTTAGAGGTGCAGATTAACTGAGATGATCTTTTTCTCTCTGTTTTGTGTGTCAGGTGGCTCGGGGTGGGGTTTGTTTGTTTTTGTTTCTTGGCTGACTTTCATAAGAGTCTGAAATGTGTATCCACATAAGCAATGAAACATGAGAAGAAAAGAGAGGGCTCCATTCATCAGCATTTCTTCTGGGAAAGCAGGTCTTTCCTACAGTCTTGTGTAGGTACGTTGAGTGCATGTGCAAATGTATTCATGGCCAGGGACATGTCAGCCTGCCCAGCCATGTACTCACTTACAGGTATATACTTCTGTTCTTTCACTGCACGTGTTGCATTTAACATAGCAGCACCAATGAAATTTGCAGTTGCACTGCCACACTCTTGAGTACTGGTGCGTATTGTAACCTCGACCACAGCACATCAGATCGCACCCGTTAGACTGCTGGGCTGTCTTGTTGCACATCCTTCCCTGTGTTCCCACGCTGCCAGTGACAGGGTCTTCTTCACAATAATTGGGAGATTTTTCTATGTACACTAAATCTGTATCCATGGGTTTGCGATAGGAAAGTGGCTTCTTTATTTTGAGAAAGGTTGGACGCTTGTTACGACTTGCTCTCACTGGTTCGACTTGAACAGCTTCGTTGTATTTGTCCTTAAGGATGTAGCCCAGCTCCCGGAATTTAGGCAGAGTTGTCCAGCACGTTTTAGTGGTACAGGATCCCGACACCCCATGGCACTTGCACTCTAACTTCATGTTTTCTTCCAGAATCTGTATTTGGAAGAACAAAGAATGATGCGTTAATACAATCTAGAATCTCTTCAAAAAACCAGTGTTATTCGATGCATACTGAATGAATCCAGCATGAGTTACCACCAGACATAAGCCACGTTCCCACCAAAGCTGTGGGTTTTGCTTGCCTGGTGACACTGTTACCCCAGGTAGCAAGTGCTCACCAGTGTCAAATGAGTCTTGCCTGCAAAGCTGATTCCCCATTTGCACTTCAAGTTAAGCAGGGAAGATAACTTTGCCTAGTTTCATAGCCCACAGACAAAAGGTAAAATGGGACCCCCCCTTAGCCACAGCTTTTCTTCACTTTCATTTGCAATATGATCGTACAGTGCTTCAGATTTGCCTGTTGTTGCAATTTTTGGCATATGGCAGTGAAATTAGGAACTGGCAGAAAATCACACCTTTACATGAAATGCCACGTGCAGGATACTTTGAAAGTTCAACAATAGGTACTAGAACTTGATTTCTGTAAACAGAGGTTCAAAAATAAACTGCATTTCAGTTCTTGCACCTGAAGATGACATAAGCTGGTGCAATATGTGATTAAGCTGATAAAGTCTATCAATGCTTATCTTCCTGTTGGTCTCACATTAATCAACAATGTAGAGCAGATGATAATTTATTCATACAGGCATCATCTGTTCTAAATGTTTCAAGTTAATGCTCCAATTTGGAAAACTTATTATTTTGATACACCATAGTCTTAAGTTCTTTGCACTTTCTGGGGAGTTTTAAGTGTTTGGGCTCCTCTCACGTGGATAATGGAGCATAAAAAATGCCCCAGCTACTTTGCAAGAAAACTAGGTCTGTCTTAGAGCATAAAGGGTAAGAGTAAAGATGAGGAATTGGTTTCATGTTTTATCATCAGTTCTTGTTAAAAATTTTCTACCTCCTTAATACTGTAAAAGCATCTCAAAGAGCTAAACATCAAGGCTTGCTCCACCCTGTCTCATGTTCTCTTCTTTGTAGGGGTCTCTCATACTTATGCCTGAGTTGTCACTACTTTCCTTTTGAAGGTAACAAGCTTCATCTTCCCTTCAACCTTCACATCCCTTGAAACTTTATCCCTGTATCTTCTCCCTCTTGCTGTTTATTTACCAACCCAGTCTTTGCCAAATAAAACTGGAGACCAGCTTAGTCCCTGCTGTCTGTCCTGAGCCCTATAACTGACCCCCTTAGTAGCTACATTTGGTTAATGCTAGAAAACATACCTAATTCCAGCAATTAATCTCCCGCTGGTCTTTGCTTGAAAGAGAACATAATAATTTTGATGACTAAATTCTGCCTAACCTGCCAGATACCAGCAGTGGAAAGCCCAGACAGAGGGATTATTTGGGTTCAGGGAGTGGCCACATAATTTTTCCACTGAGAAACCCCAGCTGATCTGTGCAGCCCCAAACCTAGGCAGCTTAGAAGGCTGGAGGGAGGTCAGGGATGTGGAAATTGAACTAAACCTTTGCTACAACCCCCCACTTCAGTTTTGGACTTTTGGAAAACTTGCCATGCAGACACCATTTGCCTTTCCACCAGCTGCTGCTGAAAACGGCAGCCTGCACTGAAGGAGCCAAGTCCGGCTCGAACGCTAGACACGTGTGCTGGGACTTCAAGTCTAAAATCTCAGCATAAACTAGGGGTGGCAAGGAGAAAGAGCACATCTTAAGTTGTGCAGCCAGCAGATCATGTCGTGCACTAACACCGGTGAACATAGCTCAGTCCTGTTCTTGGCAGCCTTAAAACAAGTAATCTAAAGACTACACTTAGCAGCTTATTATTCTTGTACCTTTTGGTCTTGAGGCTGTTCCCGTGTCACCTAGGCACAGTAATTGCTATTGCCTAACCTTAGGACAGTTTGTAGCTGCTTCTTTACTCGTTGTTCTTCCTCTGCCCCTTTTCAATGAAGATTGGGATTTAAATGGCATTAAAGTAGCTTTATTTTTATTTTAGTCTATAAGTGAAGTGTCAGCACTTGTGGTCTGAAGACTGGATTAAAACCCCTAGAAAGCACACGTCCAAGATTTTGACAGGTGAACTTAGCATACATTAGGTCACATTTTGTGCTACTGGTTTTAAATTAGTTTTTCATGCAAACTGTCTAATGACTGCCCTAAAACTCAGATGTGAGAAACTTTTATACTCAGATCTACATCTTAACTTGCACTTCTGCTCAAGCTTTGGCTTACATTTTGCATTATCTTGTTATCTTGAGTTTCTCTCTCAGCCACTGCATACTTCTTTTATTGCTCACTCATTCATAAGGTAGTGCACTTAGAAGATAGATGAGGAGATGGAAAAGGAGTTATAGTACAGAAACCGGAAAAATAACATAAATTCTTTTAGTCTCATTTGTACCTTTTTAAAAGCTCTCTTTTTTTAATTTGAAACTAGCCAGGGATACATTTCTCAGCCCTAATTCAATCACCGCTCTTGTTCAAGTGGCTGGCCTTATATCCTGGTATGATGTTCAAACTTGCAACAAAATATTTCTAACTCGTCTTCCATCAGGATCTGCCAAACTGACTTGAAACATTAATACAAAATGCATCATGGCTTAGTGTCATCTATCCAGGTAGGTCTTTTTTCCTGAAGTGTAGTTAAATAGCTTAAATTGCCTTTTGGTTTATTTCGTTAACATCCCATCTACAGCCAGCAATCTCTGAGAGAACGAGTAGTTCCACTGGAAAGAGCTGAGCAAGCGGCTGGAGCAGTTCAGCAACCGGGCGGCCTCGTGTCACGTGTTGGTGTCCTGCTCTGGGTGACACGATGCCAACCAGAACGAGCTTCTGCTTTTCTGGTCTCAGCCAAGGCTGGGCACAAGCAGTTAGGCTAAAAAGGTCTGGTTTTGTCTGAACATGAGAAGTTTGGACAATACCAGTTGAGCCCAAGTGTGAGGGGTCCTTCTCAGATGACCAAAAATGCTTGGAGGGGGATAGAAGGGGGCAGAGGGATAAGAAGGAGTTTTGTCTTTTAATGCTGTGCCACATTTATTGTTCTCTCTCTTTTTTTTTTTTGGAGGTAGCACTTCCTAAGAGTTACTGGCTAACCCTCCCTTTTCTCTACGCACTTGTTGGGGGTGCGCTTCCAATACACTGTGCTAAAATCACTCCAATACATCTGCCTAATCTGGGTCCACCGTAGTCTGCAACTGAACTTCCCCTTCCAGTTCTGCCTTTTCTAACCCAGCCTCTCTACCTTTTGCTCACAAACCCTTTTGTTGGTTCTGTTCTTGTATATATATCCTCCTTGCTGGTGCTGTCTTTCAATGCGGTGTTTTGCAAATTCAGCCAGAGATGAATTGACTCTGTAGCCTTTAGAAAATAGGCTACTTGTAACTTGAACCATCCATCCTCAGCAAAAGCAAAAGCCTGCAATGGTGATTTGATAGTTTTATTGTACTGTGATATCAGGTGCTTGAACTATTTGTTTTGCATTAAAATATGTGGATGGTGGTATTTTAATACCATTAGATTATTCTAGTAGCCTCTGATAAATCGGTGCCTTTATAAATTCAAGATGAGAGCTGAAAAGAGAAGGAAGAAAATAAAATGGGGGATTTTTGGGGTAGGGACAGGAGGCCTCAGTCTTTCCCTTGGTTTCCGTGAGCCAAAAGAAGTGCTCTACCCCTTAAAAACTTGATCTGTGTTAAAACCAGAAAGTGTTCTTGACCTCTCAAGATCAGGATTTGTTTCTTTGAAGGTATAAGCCAGCAGCTCACACTTTTTGCATTAGATTAAAACTTTACATATGTTATAGACTGACTTTTCCTAAAATGTAAGAGCCTGAAGGGCACAAAATTTAAATCCTAGCTCCTCTGTTTCTTACCAAATGACCATATCCAGCTCTGTCAGCCATGGAAAGTAAATCTGTATGCACCAGTGAATGCTCTGAACTGGATTAAATGCGAACAAAGAGCTGGAGTTCTTTTAGCTTTGTCCACTTTTTCTTTGAGCTCCTACAGTAAACTGTCAGTACTTGTTTTTCTCTCTCTCTCTCCCTCTTGCCATTAGCCTCTGGGAAATAGTTTGTGTGAAGAGAACTTGCGCTGGCTCTCTCTATTGATGTTATCTTCAGATACAGTACCTTTGGGCACTGCCATTAGGAACTTAACATGTTTTTTCTTCACCTCCAGTTTTGCGGAGAATGCGTAGGGTGCGTCATGGAAGGGTGGCAAGCCGTAGCTCTGGAGAACCCCGCAGCCCAGGAGCTGCATGGGCTGGTACCAGCGCTGTGGTCCTGCAGCGGGCAGGCTGTCTGGTCCTGGCACCCTGGCTGGGAGCTGGCTAGGCCAACGGTCCTGGTTTCCAGTGAAACCAGCAGAAAGTGCTGCCTGGTGCGACTCGGTGCGGGAGTGGCATTTGCTTACGAGTGCTGCCGCCGCTGCCCTGCAGCCATGCGGGAAGTGTGTCCTCAGGGTGCTGGGACAGGCGCTGTGGGTGCTCAGAACCACTGGTGACCCTCGCGCGGTGGATTTTCTCAGCTCAGCATCTCTGTTACCCGAGTTACTCGGCGGTGTGTACGGCCCTGCGTTTCCAGCATCTAAAGTCAGCTGACTTTCCAAATGCATCTGCCAGGGCAGTCTGGGACCCCACATCCCACTCATGTGGGGTCCAGGTACTGCACAGCCCTGGGTTCAGTCACCAGAACTCTAAAGCACTCGATGCCAAAGCTGTCCTGAAGGACTTACAGCACGAAATGGTGACCATTGCACCACCAGTGCATTCTCCTTCACCAACAGGATTCCCATGGAAACGAAATCCTGCCTCACAGTCAATACGCTGCCAATAGCACAGTGCCTGAGGCCAGGGACCCTTTACTGCTTCATCAGAAATAACTCGGTCGCCAGACTACATGTGAAGCAGATGTAATTAGTGAGACAACAGACACCGATTCCTATCCCACCGAGGCCATAATCACATCAGATCATCTGGGTCAGGAAATACCTGTCTCCTACAAGTGCCTGCACACATACCTTTACTATAGGT